TCCACACCCTCAGGTTCAACCAGCTGTGGATGGAAAATATTTGGCGGGGGAAAACCAATTAAAAAATAACAATACAACAATAAAATATGACAAATAAAAATACTATACCGTATAACAACTATTTACATAGCATTTTATTGCATATTAAAGTATTGTATTACATATTATAAGTAAAATAGAAATGATTTAAAGTATACAGGAGCATGTGCATAGGTTTTATGCAAACACACACCATTTTATATAAGGGACTTGCACATCCTTGGATTTTGGTATCTTCGGGGCTTCTGGAACCAATTCCCCATGGATGCTTAGGGATAAGTGTACTACCTGATAAAGAAAGAAAAAAAATCCCTTTACGCACCTTCCCTTCTTAAAATGAACTCCAAAAATACGAAATGTCCTATAAAGTGTAAGTCTTTCCAGCGTTTCCATTTCTCTATGGTGTGGTTCTTCCTGAGCACCAGAGAAGGGCTCTCACTTTCCTGCCTTCTTGTTTTTCTTCACAGACTTCCCTCCTCAGCGTCCCTTCCAGCCCCAGCCAGGTGCATGCTGATAGGCACAATGCTCATTCTGGCTTCCAGCGTGATGCGAAGAGGTAGCCCCAAGCCCTGCAAGTTACTGCATTTATGTAGCCAATTTAAACAATTATCCTTCGTAATTTGATATTCAAGTGTCTAAAGCACCTTGTTATTTCTGAACATTTGGGATTATCCTCCCTATTGTGCTCTTTGTAAACTGAAGGCTTTTCTGATGACTTCTAATCTTCCCCACCCACATGCCCTGAATTGAAAATTGAACATTGCCCATCTCCATGCAGACGAATAGAGACTAGTAGGCGTAATAATATATTTGTATATGCTCCTATGAGCTCCGCAACATTTAAAACCTTTCTGTGCCAGTGACAGTCACTTTGCCTCAGGCTTCCTGGGCTATTTGTTTAAAAAAAAAACGAAAAACCCAGCATTTTCACTTATTAAATGAACCACTAGAGATTGGTCCTGTTTGAGAGTTGGATGACCTCTGATAGGTCATCGACAACCTGTAGCAACCTGTGGCATTTGAACTAGAGGCAGCTGCAAGCCGGGCACGTGTCCTTCATTTGCTTAACCCTCCCTAGGACCCATCAAGGTTTCCGAGGGACGTGGAACAGCCGCCCCTTGTAGAAGAAGCTGATTGGAGGGGCGGGGGCAGGGAGCGTGTGGATGCATAGAATGTCTCACAATTTGAGTTTTGTGCTGAGAGGAATAAGAAGGCTTTGAAAGGTAGAGAATGTTAGAATGAGAAACTCTCTCCAGTCCGGCAGGCACAGGAGACAGTCGTTGCAGCCCTTAGAAGGCGGGAGCTGTGGCACTTGCGGCAGCTCCCACGAAACCTGTAGTTACACATGCAAAGTAACGTCTGTGGCGTGCTAGGCATTTGGGTGCTCTGTGTCCACCCAAGAGGGGCACAGCTTGCGACCCTCATCTGGGCAGATGATCAGGAAATGGGAGTAGCAACGTGACGCCTATTCCCTTTCTACCCAGCCGGCATGTTGTTCGTGTGCTATCACTGCGGCAGCGGGGATGCAGGGCGTGGCCTACACTGCACTTGTGAAACTACGTGTCTGTCTTGTGAAACTTCTCTGTGCTGTGGGGTGGAGTCTAGTTCCGACGTGGAGCAGACTGGTTTTCCAGGCAGCTACCTGGAGGCAAAGGAGACTTGGGTTCCCCCGTTGCTGTTGGACAGAGAGACCCGAGTCCAGAAACAGGTCAATATGTTCACTGAATGAACCTTAATAAAATGTTATTTCCTCACTCGGCTGGCTGGCGGGAGGCACAGACAGACTGGGTTTGAATCCTGGTTCTGTCCCTCAGTAGCTGGAAGGAGTTACCTGCCCTGAGTTTCTTTACTGCTAAACTTGGGACTAAAATAGTCCAGGGTGAGGCAGAGGCCACATGCATTGGGCATTGGGGCCTGGCAGGAGCTGGTGAGGGTGTTAAGAGCACCCTCACTCCCTCCCCGGGGCACCCAGCGCCTTGCACATAGGAAATTCCCCAGTGAGCGGGGCTGATCCGCTGGCTTGGAGGGAAGGGGCCCACCATCCTGTGTTGTGGGTTACTTCTGTGCTAACCTAACATCTGTCACTAGTCTGTAAATGAACCGGAAATATTTTCCAAAGCAGATGCCCTGGCTGTCCTGAGTGCCCTGAGGGGTGAGCCTTTCCAGCTTTCTGGCCCCCCTAGTGGCTCAGACGGGTGCTCTTCCTTCATCGTTTTCTGGGGTCTCAGAATTCAAGGGCTAAATTGCCCGCTGTAGCATCCCATGCGGTTATTCAGAACATAGCCTTCCTGCTCACCAAGCCACATTCCAGCAGACTCCGCAGCAGCCTGGACGCCCTCGGGCTCCAGCACTGCTCTCACGTGGTGGCCCGAGGAGAAACTGGGCTGGCCGAGTGTCAAGGGAGTTAAATGTGCCCTCTTACTCAGCACCTCTGGCTCTGCTGTGCTTTCATCAACTCCTGTTTTCTTTCCTTCTGTATTCACTCATCCTTCTAAGGCTTTCTGCTTAGCCCGAGTCTTTGCATTTTTTCTTTCACTGTGACCCTTTCCCCCCAAACAGATCATCCATATCTTCTCCATCTCCTGCCTTTTCTCTGCACGTTGTGATTTGTTTTGTACAACGTGCGGGTCTCCGACAGCCCTCGCTCCTCCCCATCCGCTCTGCTGCTGCTCAGCCTGCCCTCGATGGGAGGGAATGGGTTATGTGACCGTGTGGCAGAGTTTCCAAGGGCATTTGGCAAGCTCAGGGCATTTGGGTGACCTGTGTGTTTCCTGGAGAGGCCCCCTGACTGGGCTGGGAATCAGGTCTGGAACTTCTGCCTGGCAGTGTCCAACCCTCCTGTCTATACAGAGACACCCCGTTCAGGTGACAGTTATCGAATTCTACTGTTTATTTCCTTGAAATGCAATAGAAGGAGTTGCTAAAGTTCACCTCCGGTAACATAGTTCTTGAACCCTTGAGGTTGACTTATGACTTGTTTTCTATCAGTATCACCTTGCGTATTTTGCTTTTCAGGTAGGAGATGACTGGTGAGTAGGAATTATTTTCAGTTTCAAATAAATCTTATTGTCTTTTTCATTTCTCTGAAAAGAATTTTGCCCATCTTGCACTATTGTGTACTATTCTTGCACTATGAATAGTGCTCCCCATCATAAGCACTTTGTAAGTATGGCTATTATTGGTGAATTTTGAAGTTATGGTGCTCATGGATGACCTAGATGTGCTCTTTCTCTTGGCTCCTCCCACCCCATTCATGCGTGTCAGGCAGAGGACTCTATGTTGACCACACACCACTCTGTGGCTACCCCGTGAATGGATTACTGAGCATTGTAAATGGCATCCCTATTACAGAAATATCTAAGAGATACTCCTTAGTCCTGCTCTCCTCTGATCCTTAACCAAAATGAGAAGTCTGTGTCTACAGTCAGCTTAATCAGTTGACTCCCAATGCCAATATTAAAGGTTGCAATATCTATTCTTTTCCAAATGTTACTACCTCCCTTATACCTTATACTATTCATGTACATGCTATTACAGAATTTGGGAGCTCTCAAAGACTTAGTGGTACTTTTAGTCTTGGTGTCAGGGCCGGGCGAGGTGGCTCACACCTGTAATTCTGGCACTCTGGGAAGCTGAGAGGGGAGGATCGCTTGAGGTTAGGAGTTTGAGACCAGCCTGAGCAAAAGTGACACCCTGTCTCTACTAAAAATAGAAAGAAATTAGCCGGACAACCAAAAAAAAAAAAAAATTAGCCGGGCATGGTGGCACACGCCTGTAATCCCAGCTACTCCAGAGGCTGAGGCAGAAGGATCACTTGAGCCCAGGAGTTTGCGGTTGCAGTGAGCTATGATGATACCACTGCACTCTAGCCCAGATAATAGAGTGAGACCCTATCTCAAAAAAAAAAAAATATATATATATATCTAAAAATATGACACACATATGTAATTTATTTATTTATTTATTTTGAGACAGAGTCTCGCTCTGTTGCCTGGGCTCGAGTGCCGTGGTGTCAGCCTAGCTCACAGCAACCTCAAACTCCTGGGCTCAAGCGATCCTTCTGCATCAGCCTCTCGAGTAGCTGGGATTACAGGCATGCACCACCGTGCCCGGCTAATTTTTTCTATATATTTTTAGTTGTCCAGATAATTTCTTTCTATTTTTAGTAGAGACAGGGTCTTGCTCTTGCTCAGGCTGGTCTTGAACTCCTGGGCTCAAGTGATCCTCCCACCTCAGCCTCCTAAGTAGCTGGAATTACAGGCACATACCACTGCACCTGACTCACATGTATGACTTTAAATTTTCTAGTAGCCACATTAAAAAAATAGGTAAAATTAATTTTAATAAGAATATTCAGCCCAGTAAGTCCAAAATATTATCATTTCAACATGTAATCAATATAAAACAATTATTAGTGAGATATTTTACATTCATTTTACTAGGCTAAGTCTGAAATCTGGTGTTTATTTTACACTTACAGCACATCTTCATTTGGACTAGCCACATTTCGAGTCCTCAGTAGCCATGTGTGGCTAGTGGCCACTGTCATGGGCAGCTCGGGTCCGTTGGGATCCACAGCCTCCAACCTTCTTCAGCCCTTTCATGTTGTGGCTGGAATTTATAAGCATAGACTAAAGGGAGATCATTAAAGTTGGGATCTTTTTTAAGACTCGATTTGTTCAAATAACATTCCCCTGGTTCAGTAAGTGGCTCCCAGTGTATGCTTTGGGACACATCATGCTCACATGAAGTCCTGGAGAAGGGCTCCCTGCAGGCGAACCCGTGGCCTGTCTGCTCCTGAGTGTCTGCAAACAAGTTTAAGGGGACACCTGTGTCCACGGTGCTGCATGGCCTTTAGCCTTCTATTGCCCAGAGCTGGGGTTGGGAGGGAAAGGGAATTCTCCGTGGGTAGGGGAAATTAAGAAATAAATCAAGGCTTTTTCTTTGTCTTTTCATTTAGTGGAATAGAAGATGAACTCAACTGAATTCAGTGAAGATGTAGAAGAAGGTAAAAAAATGTTTTAAAAAAATGTTTTTAATTTAGTGTTTCTGATTAGGTCATACATTCACATGGTGTAAAAATATAAAGAGGTATATAATGAAAAGTCTCCTCCCAGCCCTGTGAGTTCCCATCCGCCTCCACCCACACACCTGTTATAATTATAAGCATCTTATGGATCTTTACAGAGTTACTTTTTAAAAGCACAAAAAGATAATATTTATTTCTCCCCTTCCATCTCCTTCACCCCCCAAAAAGATGACTTTTAAACCAATTTGGAACTAAATATTCTTGGAACATGGTTTTATTGTATAGCACTAGTGCAACAAGAAAAAATTGCATTGTTGAAAAGCACAAGTTTGTTATGACTAGACATCTTTATCTGAGTGACAGTGTCAAAGGGCCACCCACAAATCCCCCGTGGCTCAAGAGAGCCCTGCCGATCTCTGTGCGGCCCCGGTCTCTCCCACTGAGCCCTGTTTCTTCTCTGCCACAGTTCTAAAAAATAACACTGTGAAAGTGGAGACAGAAGCTGAAGATGCTGCCCTGGACTGCTCAGTGAATTCCAGGACTGCTGACAAGCACCCTCTGGACAGCGTCTTCACTGCCCTCCAGGACTGCAGCAAACGAAAGCAGCCGGCCAGCGATGGCCTGCCCGACTCTGTCCCCAGCGTGAAGCGGAGGCGGCTGATACCTGAGGTGAGGGCCCGGCCACTTCCTCGCTTTGCTTAGGCTCTAACCCTCTCTGATTTGGTGCTGAATCTCTCTCTACTCCTGGGCTTCTGAGCAACTGCTAAACCCTCGGACATAAGAAGGGTTCATTTAAGCTATCCCATCTCTGGCTGCAGTTTCTAGAAGGTGTCTTTAACAGGAATTCTTGTCTCTGTCTGGATTCCTTATGGGCAAGGGGGGTCTTCACAGTACAGCTGCTTCTGAGTTCTCTGTTTGGCTGCGCGCCACTGGGGAAGGCTAGAACTCGTTCACAGCAAGGACGGTTAACATAAGCCTACTTCAACTTTACATAATAGATTGATTCCTGGAAAAATTGGGGGTAGATCTCTTCCTAAATTAAATCCATCTCTCCTGTCTATTAGAGGATTGTGTTCCTGAAGAAACTCTTTTTGAGTGAATCTTTTTGTAAAATGGGGAATTCTTTACCCCCTAAGTTACCTATTTTATGAATATGCTTTATTTCTTAACCACCTGCTGGTTATATTGAACTTGGCCAAATGCTGAGAGAGATAGCACGTGGCCCCCTATAGCAGTGTACAGTCTGGGTGCGAGACAAGACACGAACATAGCACAGTCAAGGCTGAGGAGAGAGGCTGCTTTGGGAGGGGGGTGGCTGTCTGGCCCAAATGCCCCGTCAGCAGAACCTCCCCATGGTACAGCAAATCTACCTTTAACTCCTAGAAGAACATTTTCCCAAGTTCCCTGCTCCAGCTCCACCCCTACTCCCCCCTCCCCGCACTCTGTAGGAGACCCAGATGAGCACTGCAGCTTCTGCATGTTTGTTCGAAACAGCACAAATTTGCAGGCTCGTCGTCATTAGCCGGAGCACTGTGGGGTGTCAGCCTGGGACTCGGCTTTAGTGGTTTATTTTAATTGTCCCCTATCCAATGATGTTAGGGCAGATCCAAAGAAATTGGTAATGTATGCATTTTAGGGATTTGGTTAGGCTTCAGTAGGTGAAAACTATCTTCTCTTTAATTAGCATAGTGATGGGACTAAGATTCTAACCAGAAGTTAAATATACATGTTTACATTACATGCCAATGAGGCCCTGTATTCCGTGTCATGGAATATCAAGTGATATATTTATTTTATCTTATTTTATTTAATATGGGTTTTTTTCCAAACAACTTTATTGAGATATAGTACACATACTGTACAATTCACCAGTTTAATTTGTGTAGTTTAATGGTTTTTAGTATAGTCACAGAGTTGTGTGACCGTTACCACAATCAGTTTTATGGGGGTACAGCTCAGTGGTAGTGCATTTGACTGCACAATCAATTTTAGAACATTTTCATGACTCCACAAACAAACCCCTACCCATTAGCAGTCACTCCTCATTCCCCCTCTTCTAGCTCCTGACAGCCACTAATCTACTTTCTGTCTCTATGGATTTACCTGTTCCGAACATTTCATGTAAGTGGAATCATACACACTGTGGCCTTTTGCGTCTGGCTTCTTTTTTTTTTTTTTTTTTTTTTTTGAGACAGAGTCTCGCTTTGTTGCCCGGGCTAGAGTGCCGTGGCGTCAGCCTAGCTCACAGCAACCTCAAACTCCTGGGCTCAAGCGATCCTCCTGCCTCAGCCTCCCTAGTAGCTGGGACTACAGGCATGTGCCACCATGCCTGGCTAATTTTTTCTATATATTTTTAGTTGTCCAGATCATTTCTTTCTATTTTTTAGTAGAAACGGGGTCTCACTCTTGCTCAGGCTGGTCTTGAACTCCTGACCTTGAGCGATCCACCCGCCTCGGCCTCCCAGAGTGCTAGGATTACAGGCGTGAGCCACCGCGCCCGGCCTGTGTCTGGCTTCTTTTACTTAGCATGATGTTTGCAAGGTTCATCCATGCTGTAGCATGTATACAGTACTTCATTCCTTTTTTATTTTTTAACAGACTTTATTTTTTAGAGCAATTTTCGATTAACAGCAAAATTGAGCAAAAGGTACATATTTTCCATATACCTCCTACCCCCACACATGCATAGCCTCCTTCACTGCCAACGTTCTTCACCAGAGTGGTACATTTGTTACAATTGCTGATCCTGCATTGACACATTATCACCCAAAGTCCATGGTTCGCATTAGGGTTTGCTCCTCGTGTTGTATTAGTCTGCGGGTTTGGAAAAATGTATAATGACATGTATCCACCATTCTAGTATCATCTAGAGTAGTTTCACTGCCCTGAAAATCTCTTGTGCTGTACCTGTTCATCTCTCCCTCCCACATGACCCCTGGCAACCACTTATCTCTTTACTATCTCAATAGTTTTGCCTTTTCCGGAGTATCATATAGTTGGAATCATATAGTACGTAGCCTTTTTTAGATTGACTTCTTTACTTAGTAATATGCACCTAAGTTTCTTCCATGGCTTGATAGCTCATCTTCTTTTAGCACAATATTCTGTTGTCTGGATGTATAACAGTTTATCCATTAATCTACGGAAGGACATTTTGGATGCTTCCAAGCTTTGGCAATTATGAATAAAGATGCTGTAAACATCCATGTATAGGTTTTTGGGTGGACATAAGTTTTCAGCTTCTTAGGGTACAAGGAGTGTGATTGTTGGATCGTATGATAAAAGTATGTTTAGTTTTGTAAGAAACTACCGAAGTGGCTGTACCATTTTGCGTTCCTGCTAGCAATGAATAAGAGATCCTCTTGCTCCACATCATTGCCAGCATTTGCCGTTGTCAGTGTTCTGCATTTTGACCACTGTAATAGGTGTGTGGTGGTATCTCATTGTTTTTGTAATTTGCATTTTCCTGATGACATATGATGTGCAAAGTCTTTTTATAAGCATATTTGCCAGCTGTATATCTTCTTTGGTGAGGTTGTCTTAAGGTTTTTGGATCTACTTTAAAATTTTGTTTGTGTTCTTATTGTTGAACTCTTTATATATTTTGGTTAACAGTCTTTTTTTTTTTTTTTTTTTTTTTTTGGAGATGGGGTCTCACGATGTTGCCCAGGCTGGTCTCAAAGTCCTGGCCTTAAACGATCCTCCCACGCCAGCTTCCCAAAGTGCCAGGATTACAGGAATAAGCCACTGTGCCCAGCAGTAGTCCTTTATCAAATATGTCTTTTGCAAATATTTTCTCCCAGCCTGTGGCTTTTCTTTTCGTTCTCTTGACAGTGTCTTTTATGGAGCAGAAATGTTTGATTTTAATGAAGTCCAGTTTGTCAGTACTATCTTTTATAAATCACGCCTTTGGTGTCATATCTAAAAAGTTACTGCCGTACCCAAAGTCATCTAGATTTTCTCCTATGTTATCTTCCAGGTGTTTTATATTTTTCATTTTACATTTAGGTCTGTGATTCATTTTGAGTTAATTTTTGTGAAGAGTGTAAGGTCTGTGTCTAGATTTGTATATATATTCGCATATGGGTGCCCAGTTGTTCCAACACCATTTGTTGAAAAGACTGTCTTTGCTCCATTGTGTTGCCTTTGCTCCTTTGTCAAAGATCAGTTGACTATATTTATGCTGGTCTGTTTCTGGGCTCTCTGTTCCATTGGTCTATTTGTTTATTCTTCCACCAATACCACACTGTCTTGATTACTTTAGCTTTATAGTAAGTCTTAAAGTCAGGTAGTATTGTAGTATCAGTCCTCTGATACTATTCTTCTCCTTTAATGTTGTGTTGGTTATTCTGGGTCTTTTGCCTTTCCTATAAACTTTAGAATCAGCTTTAGATATCAATAAAATAGTTTGATTGGATTTTGATTGGAACACATCATATCTATAGATCAAATTGGGAAGAACTGACATGTTGGCAATATTGAGTCTTATCTATGAGCATGGAATATCTCTCCATTTATTTAGTTCTTTGATTTTTTTTTTCATCAGAGTTTTGTACTTTTCCTCATATAGATCTGGTACATACATATTTTATTAGATTTATAATACATATATATATGCATATATATATATTTTTTGGAGGAGGGGGCCTTTTTTTTTTTGAGACAGTGTCTCACTCTGTTGCCCTGAGTAGAGTCCCATGGTGTCAGCCTAGCTCACAGCAACCTCCAACTCCTGGGCTCAAGCGATCCTTCTGCCTCAGCCTCCCAAGTAGCTGGGACTACAGGCGCGCACCACCACACCCGGCTAATTTTTCTATTGTTAGTAGAGAAGGGGTGTCACTCTTGCTCAGGCTGGTCTCAAACTCCTGAGCTCAAGCGATCCTCCTGCCTCGGCCTCCCAGAGTGCTAGGTTTATAGGCATGAGCCACTGAGCCCGGCCTGGCATTTATCTTGCTTAGTATTCTCTGAGCTTCCTGATTCTGTGGTTTGGTGTCAGACATTAATTTGGGGAAATTCTCAGTCATTATGGATTCAAATATTTCTTCTGTTCTTTTCTCCCTTTCTTTCCTGGTATTCCCATTATGTGTATGTGACATTTTTTGTAGTTGTCCCACGGTTCTTGGATAGTCAGTTTGGTCTTTTCAGTCTTTTTTTTCTTTGCTTTTCTGTCTTTAGAGTATCTATTGAGTTACCCTCAAGCTTAGAGATTCTTTCCTCAGCCGTGTCCAGCCTACCAAAAAGCCCATCAAAGGCATTCTTCATTCATATTACAGTGCTTTTTAACTCTAGCATTCCTTTTTCTCTTTCTTAGAATTTCCATCTCTGTGTACCTCGCCCATCCGTTCTTACGTGGTGTCTACTTTACCATTAGATAGTAGCATATTAATCATACTTATTTTCCATTTTCTGTTTGGTAATTCCAACATCTCTACTATATTTGAGTCTGGTTTGGTCTTATAATGCCTTGTAATTTTTTCTTTTTAATTTTTATTTATTTTTTTGAGATGAAATCTTGCTGTGTTGCCAGGCTGCTTTCAAATTCCTGGGCTGAAGCAGTTCTCCCAGGTGGGACTACACCGCGCTCAGCTGTAATGTTTTCTTGATAGCCAGACATGATGTGCTTGGAAAAAGGAACTGCTGTAAATAGTCCTTCCTTCAGTGATGCGGTG